GTGAGAGGCCTGGCCAGCAGCTGACGCCCAAAATCCAGGTCTTCTCCGGTCCCATGAGCGAGAGCGTCCCCACGAGCGTATCTGGATTCCGCCACCGACGCGCCGGCTCGAGCGCCAGCTTGACGAGCTTTGCATTCTACGACGAAGAGCAGGATTCCGGCGACGGCACCGAGGACGAGGACAGCGCCATCGACGACGACGACGACGACGAGAGCCTGTACAATGGGCATGCCGTTGACGATGTCGACGACCTGGAGGCGGCATCGCCGTCGCCCTCGTCGCACTCGCCGTCGCCATCGCGGCGCAAGTCGAGCGGCAGCCGAAAGTCGTCCGAGAGACCGTTGCTGCGCAGGGTCTCGTCGGCAGGCAGCACAGGCTCAGGCGCCGACTGGAGGGGGCGCCGGTCCAACCAGAAAATCTATATCATGACCGAAGACCTGACGATTGTCATTGCCGGCTTCAAGACGTCGCCTGTTGGCTACGCCCTCTATGCGCTTCTGTGCGTCGCCACGCTCGGCCTCGGCTGGCTGCTCTTCAGATGGCTGCCGCGGTGGCGCGTCACGATAGTCGGAAAGAGTGCGCCTCTAAAAGAGTGCGACTGGATCGTCATCGAGAACCAGTGGGGCGAGTTTGCCGTGCAGCACGTCAACCGCCAGACGTACGGACGCTCGCTCTCCACCGTCTTTGGCGACCCCGAAAAGGGCCGCCCGCGGGAATGGGACGAGGACGACGATCCGCTGATTGGCGAGCTGAGGTGCCTCGACTACCGCTATATCCGCTTCGTGTACCACCCCATCAAGGACAAATTCGTGCTCGCCAATACCTGGAAAGACCCCAGCTGGACCCATGTCTTGGCTCTCCGCGAGGGCCTCGACAACGATGAGCGCGACTACCGTGAACTCGTCTTTGGCAAGAATATGATTGACATTGCGGAAAAGACAGTCGGCCAGCTGCTCGTTGACGAGGTCTTCCATCCTTTTTATGTGTTCCAGATTGCCAGTCTGGTCCTCTGGTCGCTCGACGAGTACTACTACTACGCCTGTGCCATCTTCATCATCTCGGCTGTTAGTATCGTCACCACATTGATGGAGACAAAGGCCTCGATGAAGCGTCTGCGCGAGGTGTCTCGATTCGAGTGCGAAGTCCGTGTGCTGCGCAGCGGCTTCTGGACGCACGTCGATTCTGCCGAGCTTGTGCCTGGAGATGTCTACGAAGTTACGGATCCCGCACTTACGCAATTCCCCTGCGACAGTCTGCTACTTTCCGGAGACTGCATTGTCAACGAGAGCATGCTGACTGGCGAGTCTATTCCTGTATCCAAAATCCCCGTCACCAACCAGTCGCTGGATATGCTGGACCTCAGCGCTTCGGCGGTTCATCCCGAAGTTGCGCGACACATGCTGTTCAGTGGCACCAAGATTATTCGCGCTCGCAGGCCGCATGAAGACCACGACGATGATGAGGCTGCCGCACTGGCAATGGTCGTTCGTACGGGCTTCAACACCACAAAGGGCGCCTTGGTCCGATCAATGCTCTTCCCCAAACCCTCAGGCTTCAAGTTCTACCGCGACTCGTTCCGGTACATATCCGTCATGGCCATCATCGCCATGATTGGGTTTGTTGCGTCCTTTATCAACTTTGTCCATCTCGGTCTTGAGTGGCACTTGATTGTGGTACGCGCGCTCGACCTGATTACCATTGTCGTCCCTCCTGCGCTTCCCGCCACTCTCACCATCGGCACCAGCTTTGCGCTGTCGCGCTTAAAACAGAAGCAGATTTTTTGCATCAGCCCGCAACGAGTCAACGTCGGTGGCAAGCTTGACGTGGTCTGCTTTGACAAGACTGGTACGCTCACCGAAGAAGGCCTAGATGTGCTAGGTGTCCGCGTCGTCGAGCGGCCCCGGAACAGGTTCAGCGAGCTTCTTCCAGACTCGTACGACATTCTGCCCGCCTCACAGCACGACCGTGACCCAACAGTCGAGTACCATGCCCACAAGACCATCCTCTACACCATGGCTACTTGTCACTCACTGCGCAAGATTGACGATGAGCTGGTCGGCGACCCATTGGACGTGAAGATGTTTAAATTCACCGGCTGGAGCTACGAAGAAGGCGAGCAAAAGTCTGGCAATTCGGGTGATGATGGAGAAGAGCAAAAATTGTCGCCGTCTGTTGCTCGTCCGCCTCCTGGTCGCGAGTATGATGTCGACGATGTCCAAGACGAGGCCAGCAGAAAGCAGGTCGAGCTCGGTGTGATCAAGTCATTCGAGTTCGTCTCGCAGCTCCGCAGGGCCAGTGTCATTGTGCGGCAATTTGGTTCAAAGAGCGGACAAGTCTACGTCAAGGGTGCGCCTGAAGTGATGAAGGAGATCTGCCGCCCCGCAAGCTTTCCCACCGACTACGAGGAGCTCCTCTCCTTCTACACGCACCGCGGCTTCCGTGTCATCGCCTGCGCTACCAAGACGATTCCAAAGCTCAACTGGCTCAAAACTCAGAAGATGAAGAGGGAGGAAGCCGAGAGTGGTCTGGACTTTGTTGGTTTCATCATCTTCGAAAACAAGCTCAAGGACAGCACGGCCCCAGTCATCGAAGAGCTTGCGTGTGCCAACATCCGCAAGGTCATGTGTACCGGCGACAACATTCTCACTGCCATCAGTGTGGCTCGTGAATGCGGTCTCATCAACAAGACGGCTCACTGCTTCGTTCCGCACTTTGAAGAAGGCGACTCCCGTACTGCGCTCTCAAAGCTATGCTGGGAGAGTGTAGATGACCCAGTATTCAAGCTCGACGATACTACGCTAACGCCTCTTCCCCCGCCACCCGAAGCCGATGTCTCTCTCCCGTATGACATCTCCAATCTGCGCAACTACAGTTTGGCAGTCAGCGGTGATGTCTTCCGCTGGATCGTCGACTTTGCGTCCGAGTCGGTGCTGCGTGAGATGCTCGTCTGTGGTCAGGTCTTTGCCCGCATGTCGCCTGATGAAAAACATGAACTTGTTGAGAAATTGCAGTCGATCGACTACTGCGTCGGCTTCTGTGGCGACGGCGCAAATGACTGTGGAGCTCTCAAAGCCGCTGACGTCGGCATATCGCTTTCTGAAGCTGAAGCGTCAGTCGCTGCCCCTTTCACATCCAGGCAATTCGACATTAGCTGCGTGCCGCAAGTCATCAAGGAAGGTCGCGCTGCGCTCGTAACGAGCTTTAGCTGCTTCAAGTACATGAGCTTGTACAGTGCGATTCAGTTTTGCTCGGTATCTTTCCTGTATGCAAGCGCCAGCAACCTGGGCGACTTCCAGTTCCTTTTCATTGACCTTTTGCTCATCCTCCCCATTGCCATCTTCATGGGTTGGTCTGGAGCATACCCAGTCCTCAGTCGCAAGCGCCCGACGGCCAATCTGGTATCTCGGAAAGTGCTCACTCCGCTACTTGGACAGATGGTCCTGTGTATCCTGTGCCAGTTTACTGCATTCCACTTTGTGCAGCAGCAGAAGTGGTACATCGCACCCGTCATTGACAAGAACCACAGCAACTCGCTCAACTCACAGAACACTGCACTTTTCTTGACAAGCTGCTTCCAGTACATCCTTTCAGCTGTCGTCCTCAGCGTAGGCAAACCCTACCGCGAGCCCATGTCTCGCAACCTGCCGTTTATTACAACCATCTTCGTCACCCTTGCCATCACTCTCTACATGCTCTTTGACCCAGCCAAGTGGGTGAAGCAAGTCATGGAGCTCACGTACATGGACGTGCCATTCAAGACATTCATCCTCACGCTAGGCCTAGGCAACTTCATCCTAGCATATGCCAGCGAAAGAATTCTCTTCCCCGGCCTCGCAAAATGGATTGGCGTCGCCAAAGTCAGGCTTGGCGGCAAGAGGATGCAGAAGAAGCGAAAGGAGTACAAGATTATTGCCGAAAGCATGCGCATCTAGATGTGTTGAGATGTCTGTTTCCGAGGCGTCGCGTGGGTGGCTGTCATGTATAGAAAATGCCTTTGTCTTGATATACTGGGATATGTAGAAAATTTCGGGGTTGTTTAGTTTGTGAATGAAGTATTCGGCATAGTAGATCTGACTCTTTGCCATCTTTGATTCTCGCTTCTAGCTATTGGTGGTATGAAGAATGTGTATGTGCGGATGGTAGAAGGTGGGGAATACAGACAGGCAGGGAAGAAATGAGTAGCCTTGACTGATGCTGAAGCTCTTGATTCCATGAAGATGTAGTTTGTATATCTCGTTCATGTGCGTATTTCACCGCTTTGTTTCTATTCTGTACTTATTCCTATTCCTATTCCCATTTTCTATCCTGACGCACAGTTGCCTTGTAACCTATTCCCAGCGTACACTACAATATGCATACATGACGCTTAGTCTGTACTGACTAACCAACCCAGCATTTGACTAACCAACTAAACCATACACACGTGCACCGTTACATACACAAACCCAGATATCTTACCCAAGTAATTTAAAAAAAATATACCATCAAGTACAAACCATACTTAGATCCCCGCTGTTACCCGTGACCCACCAAACCCCCTCCCCCTCCCCCTCTTTATCTCTCCCATGCACATCTATGTACCTCCCCCATGTACATGTCGATTTCTCTCCTCCACACACACACACACACACACACACGCACATGCAACTCAAACAACCCACGACGTCACCACTTCGGCCCCTGTCCCCGCGAAACCATATAAATGTACTAACTACATCGCCTACTTAGGCGCGTGCACATGTGCATGTGCATGTGCATGTCAGATCATCTCATCTCATCCCGTCTCATCTCGTACTGCGTTATCTTGGCTTGCAGTCTTGTCTCGTCTTGTCGTCGTCTCACACCCCCACTTGATCGTACCGCATCGTACCATGTGTCTAGGGCATCATGCCATTTGTACGGCGAAAAAAAAAAAAGTAGGGGGGAAAAAAATAAACTAGCAAAACTATCTTTTCCCAAACTAGCCACGCAACCCTGCGCCCCTTGCTAGATAAGTACCAAACTAGCTAGGTACATAGGTAGCCTAGGTTACGTAGGTGTGTTGCTTGGGAGGGGGCACAGAACTGGGAAATTAGCTAGCTGGGAAGACGGGGGTAGGCTACATACATAACATGGCGGTAGGGAGATACAACGTTGTATGTATGTACTTATGTATCATACATACGTACCTATGTACGTATGTACTTACTTAACTATGCCATGATCCCGTGCCGCCCCCATGCACGCGCATCTACAATACGTATCCAAGTGTACACCTAAGTAGTAGTACCACATGGATACGTATAGATTGGTTCCCCCGCCTGAACCTTGTCCTTGCCATTGTCCCTCATCCTTGTACCTTACCTACACCACCACGTCCTTTAACCTTGAACCTTGGCATCTCCACCATCCCTATCCCTATCCCTATCCCCCCCCCCCCTTTCCTTGCCCTTGCCCTTGCCCTAGTCCTGACCCTGGCCCTGGTCCTGGTCCTTGCTTGCCCGTTTTCCCATCCCACTACTAACCACAACCACTTGCCTACCACTACTGTACTTACTTAGCGCTATTACTACATACCGCTGCCGGCCTGCCTGCCCGCCCGCTTCCTGCTACTAGCACTACACCTAGTACCGCTAGTACTTACGTACCGCTACTTAGACTAGGATAAGTACACCACCACCACCACCACCACCACCACCACCATCAGCAATCGGCATCGGCATCGGCATCGGCATCGGTACTTGACTTGGTTCCACCCTCCCACTCAGCCTTGTACTCTAAGTACTGTACCGTCAAGTACCTTTAAGCTTTAGTCTTTTTCTTTTTAGGAAAAAATAATAATAATAATAACAATACTAATAACGATGATGATAACAATGTTTTCTCCGCTGCACTCCGTTTTACAACGGACGTGTGCGCGCCAGACATGCATGCGTGTATATGCATGTAACAAGTAGGCCCCCGCGATGCGACGATGGGGGCGATGCTCCGTTCCGTCCCCCCCCCCGGAGGGTATCTTCGGTGCTTCTGTGGGGGTTCTACTTTTTTTGGATTTATTTGTGGTCGCCGATTAGAATGGATGTACTGGACTTATGTCAGGGTGAGGTAAGCAGGTGTAAGCGGAAATGGAGATAGATGGAGGTAAGGCGAGGTAGGATTAGGACTAGGCTAGACTAGACTAGACTAGACTAGACTAAGTAGGGGGGGGGGCGTTTCTGCTGTGGGATACTTACATGTAGTATTAAGTTTTTTGATTACTGAATTGTTAGCGTGGGGGCTGGTTTGGCTCGGCAGATGTATATAGTACATACATGGAGAGAGGAAGCGAGACCGAGGTGCAGAGATGGCAGAGATGCAGAGTGGAAAAGGCAGAGTGAATAGTCAAAGCTGTGCAAGCCATGTTACGTCAAAAAACGGGTATCTAGTTTATATCTTACGAGTTTCTGTTCTGTTCTGTTCTGTTCTGTCTACTTTGTAGCGTAGTGCGAGGTGTGTGGAAGCGGAGAGAAAAGCCAGAAAAGCAATTAAACAGAGTGAAATGGAAACGAGGAAGAAGAAAAGAAAAAAAAAGCAGAGAGTATAAAATCCTACGTATATATGCCGTGATATGTGGTGGTTTGTTTCCCCTCAAGCGCATGCCCCTGACCAAAAACTCCCGCAAGTCCTTAAAGCCCCGCACGCAAATCCCGCGTTCAACGCCTACTTGTGTTCATAACTTCGTTACATGTATGGTGGCCTTGGCCCCATATCTCCCGCTCCCGCTCCCGCTCTCGCTCCCAGTGCGTGTTGTGTTGTGTCTTTCAAGTTTTAAGCAAACCTTGCCACCCATCTGCCCTGTATGCGCTCTCTCTGTGTAATTCGATTTTGCAAGATAATTCGACAAGGGAGCATGGGTAAAAAAAAAGACAGAAAAAAAAAGTTTAAACTTTTGAAAAGTACCTGAAATCCACATCCACAAAGCATGCATACTGACAGGGTCCCGCACGTTGTGATTCGGCAGACGCTGAGATTTGTGAGAGAAGAACAAGAAGAAGAAGAAAGATCACACGAAGAAGAAGATACGAGATACGACCAAAAGAAAAGAAGAGGAAGAATAAAGAACAAGACTACTTCTTCCGCCTCTTTGGACTTCGCTTTCTCGTTTCGTCTTCGACTTCTTCTACCGTCGCCGCCGGACTGGTTGTGCTGCTGCTTCCTAAGCTGTCGACTCTACTGCTGTCAACACTCTCGTCGGTACCGCCATTCACAACCAAATGCCCCGTGTCGTCTGCGCCGTTGATGTCTGCAAAGTTGAATGCGTCACCGGCAGACTCGTCCAAAGGAGCCGCAGCATCAAAGTTGAAATCAGGCAGCACCGTGTGGTTGCCGTTGACGGCAGGGTGTGTGGCAACGTCGGTGGGGGCATTGTTGTCGGTGAAAAAGTCCTCGTCATGGACAAAATTGTCCATGTTTAGATCATACTGTCCTGGTTCACCAAGGCCGTTGGCGTCGAAATACGAGTTCTGATCGCCTATGCCTTCAATCTGGCCCGTTGGGCTGAGCGGCAATATGCGCTCGTGGATGTTCTGAATCTTGGAGTTTTGCTGATCCGACAGCTTCTGCAGCATTTCCAGTTGCTGCTGTGTGGCCTGGTATTGGGCGAGATCGTCGAGCAAGCGGCTGACTTCGGGCGGGTTGGGGTTGGTAAGGGCATTATCCGTGTTCTGTGCGGCGGTGTTATTGACAATCTGCGTTAGAACATCGTTCCGTTGTTGTTGAGTAAGAGGTACGTGTCCGTCCTGTGTCTGGTAGTTTGACAAGGCGGCCGCGTAGTCAAAGTCGGGTGCCTGGCTCGCTGATTGGCCAGCGCTCGCATTTGCATTTTGTATTGCCGACATGATTGCATCGTTTTCGGGCAGAGATGTCGCGTGGAGCGGCGGTTCACTCTTCGGCTGCGTTCCGGGCACTTTATCTGTGCCTTGAGGCGTCGAAAAAGAAGGCTGCGACTGCTGACGATTGTGCGGCACCGAGGACCTCAATGCTTGCTGCCGACTCCCCGGACGCGTGATGGGGCTTGCTAGCGGCCTTGTGGTCGGGCTCATGGTTGTGGCGCGGCCCGTGGTGGCTGGTGCAAGGTAGTCTTGCTGATTTGGCGTAGGCGCCGGCAGAATGGCAAGTGGCTTTCTATTCCTCTGCAGCTGCGACGACTTGTGTGCGTCTTGCATAGGGTAATCGTCCACATCAACCACATTACCATGGGGCTGCTGTCGCCCCGAAGGAAACATGTCGGAAAGGTTCATACCATTTGCGTTGTTTTCCAGGCTTCTGTTGTAAAAGGTCGCGAGAAATGTCAGAATGGCGTTTATGGAATTCTCGTGTCGGTCATGGAGCGCTTGGAAGGATGTTGCGCGTGAATACAGTTCCTCATTCTGCCGCTTGATTTGGGTCAAGACGTTGGAGATGAGTTTCTGCTGCTGCTGGAGTTCCCGAACCTCGACCCGCAGGCTGTTGTATTCCGACCGCGGAATCATGGCCATTTGCTCGTTTCCTCGGACAGCCACTTCTTCCACATAGCCCCCGCCCCCACTGTCCTGAATGTACTTGCGATCTTCATCGCTGTCGCCCTTGTTCTCATCGTCTCGTTTGCGCTTTGGCCCGGTCGGGGGATTCTTCGGCTTCTGGATCAGCCACAGCAGCTCGGGCCGGCCGCGCTTGAAGTATTTGTTGTAGTATTCGCTGGGCGCCTTTGCCTTGGTCTCGCTCGCTTTCATCGAATTGTCTGATAGGCCGACCTTCTTGTGGAAGCCGTACATGTTGAGCTGCCGTACAAAGGATGCATAGTTGTTGTGCTTGAACAGCTCGGGGATCAGCGTTCGTGCGAATTCGTCTTCGTCCAGCACGATAAAGCTATTACCGTCGTCGGACCATCGAATGAGGTTTTCGTTCTTGTTGTTGTCGAGGAAGCTGCCAAAAGTCAGTCAGCGTTCCGTAGCTGTAAGCATATCTGAATGATTGAAAAAAAGAACCGACTGACAGGACAAGATGCATGGAGTAGAAAAGAAAAGAATCTCACTCACCTGCTTAGTTTCTGGACGAACGGAGGGATCTGCTTCCGCTTCGCCTGTGCATCCTTCTTTGCAAGCGCAGCCTTTTGCTCGAGCTCCTCGTCATCATCGACCGTCTCCCACTGCTGCTGGGGGCTTGTGAATCCATCCCATTGGGTGCGGCGCGGGGCGGGTGCGAGCTGTTGATTTGTGTTTCGGCGTACCAATTGGCCCGACATCTCGGTGCCTTCGTTGTAGCCGTCGAGCGAGACGACGCGATTATGGCCAGGACCCATGTTTGCGGCGTAGTTGTCGTAAAGGGGCGGGTCGTTGAAATTCATGTCGGGCGCCACTGCAGGGTCGTTCCAGTTGATGTACTGATCCGCGGGGGCGGGGATATCGTGCTGGTATGTCTGGGTGGGGGCCTGCGGAGATGCGCCTGGCGCGCGTCGCTTGCGGTTCGACATAAGATTTGCGCGTTTTTGCTTGGGTGATGGGGGAGGGGATGTTGGACAGGGTTTTGTCTGCGATGGGTACCCGATGGAACCCGAGCCCCCTTTGAGGAAGAATCTTCACCAGGCTGGGGCGGATCTGAGGGCTGCAGAAGCCAAGCCGGGCCGGTCGCCAGTCGTGGGTGAAGCGCGCAGGTGACTCAGCGGTCGCCTTGGGTCGCGGGCGTCGACGAGCGCGCGGGCGTGGCGGTTATGTAGGCGGCGGGCGTGGATTGTTGCGGCGTTGTTGCGGTTTGGCGAGAAAGAGATCAGGCGATTGTGCTCAAACCGGCGGCGGGCGGGCACAAAGGACGGGCGGGCAGTAGCAAAGCGGGCTCGTATAGCCGCCGCACGAGGCGGGCGTGGCGGGCAGTGGGCAGGGCGTGCAGCGGCGCTGGCGGACAGGCATGGGCGGAGAGCACGATGAGTCAGCAGAAGCGGAGCATCAGATCATGGGCGCCCTGTGCAAGCTGTCTGGGCCGGGCAAGTTGGCCGCCGCGGGATGCCACAGCCATGGTGGATGGATGGATGGGGGGGGGGGGCACAGGGCGAGTCGAGGTGTTGCAACGGGTCGACGACGTTGACATTGGCACTATTGCCGTGACAGGTGCAGGGTAAGAGCCCGCGAGTCATGCTAGCGCGGCGTAAGCGAATGACGCTGGCAGTGCGGTGAAGTTGATCTCATCGCCGCCGTGAGAACAGAGAAGACGCGCGACATTGCCCATCCGCCTCGCGCCCCTTCGCCCGCTCACGCCTCTCTCGCTCCATCTCCCTCCCCCAAGGCGCCTCCGCACTCGTTGCGCCGCTGGCCAGCCCACCGTTGCCCGCTGCCCGCTGCCCGCCTCTGCATTGCTGCCTCGACGCTCTGCTGTCCAGCCTCAACTCCACCACCGTCCGCATTCGGCCCGCGCCCAGGTGGAATGATGGGAAATTGGCCAAATTCCATCACATGTCTGCCTACATTCCGATGCCTCGAGCAGTCACATGAGCTCAGGCCGGCTTCAAGGGGCCAGGATGCCGCATGCTCAGCCGCGCCACTCTACCCAAAACGGCTGTCTCGAGAACCCCATCTTACGATCCACGCCCAAGGTTGAGATCTGCTGGCCCTCCTGTTTCCGAACTTCCACGGCCACGCCCTCCGGAACCGCCGACGGGCTATTGCTTGCTCACCACTATACCCATGACGCGTCGGCCTCATCTACTCTACGTGCACACACACCATACATGCTGTATCCACACGCCCGTCCCCAAGCTCCTCCCACCCAGCCATTATAAAAGGCCCTCACATGCCACATGGCAAACACACACCACTTGGCTCCATTTCACCTTGATTGCGTGCAAACGTACAGGGGGTGAGTGGAGCAGCCAGGTGTTCAGATGATTCACCTTCCATTATTGTAACTGTTTGTTCCAGGCACCCTGCATCAACCTGAACTATAGTGATATCCAAACAGAAAAGCCAGGAAAGAGAGAAATGAGAAGAGAGAAAGAAAAGAAAGAAAGAAAGAACGAAAGAAATAAAAATAAAAATAAGAACAAGTGAAAGACCAAAAACCTTACGAGCGTCCCAATTGCGTGTCAAATATAGCTCTCTCTTCTCCCCACCCCCAGTCTTCCTCCCCCCCCTTCCTCATCGAAAACTAAAACACAGTACTACAACACATTGTCGGCAACCGTACAACTCAATATAAATGTGTAAAAACATATTTCCCCCAAGTTCATAAATGCTTTTTTTACTGTATCCAAAGTGGAAATGCGAGATTGGTGGGGCGCGGGCCCAATTTAGTTCTTCTGGATGTAATGTCTCTACCATCGTGGCATCATTCTCTTCGTATGCATCGTAAAGTCAATCCAGAGTGTTGTGTAAGTAGCGAGGGCCAAACTCTTGCGATAGGCCGTTAAACGTTGGTCATCGATTTTTCGTTCGTGGGTGCCATCGCACGTGCCGTTGAATGAGTGATGATACGTGCGACAACCTTGGGTTTTGTGCGTCGGACCTGACATGACTACTGGCCTACAAGAATCTCCACGTTGGATTGCGACGACAGTTCGTCGCTGCCGCGGTTCTGGTGTCCATTCTGTCGCGGCCGGCTGAAGCCTTGTCCTCGTTCCGGAAGCGGGCCGCGAGGCTGTCGCGATGGACGGTCGTCGTAGTTTGTGCTGAAGGTGCGGTGGCCCCCAATGGGGCCGGGAGCGTCCCACGACGTCATCTGTCGCAGCGATCGCGGGCTGCTGTTCTGCGGATAGCCAGACGAAAGCTGCATGCGACTCATTTCCCGTTCGAGCAGCCCGTCGTCGCGCTGAGACATGGAACCGGTAGTGGGCGTACCGTTGGGATTGGTCGAGCTGCCACTGTAGCCAAGCCCCTCGAGTGAGATGCCGCCAGGCCGGCCAATGGGATGGCTGGCAGTCGATGGGGCTGGCGATGGCGTGTATGATCTGAGGTCGGCATACGACTTGGCGCCACGCAGATTGGGCACCGCATTCAGTCCGCCAGGCGAATCCGGAAACCCAAGAAGACCCGATGGCTGTCGGTTGAAGGCATTGTAGAAGCCGCCCTCGGCGCGCACATCGCTAAAGTCGGTCGTGGCGGCACGGTTGAGGTTGCGGCGAGGCTGCTCCATGGGGTTGCTGCTCGACATCTGCGGCATGGGAGGGCTGAGGCCCTGGTTGTCGTAGACCTTGAAAATGTGCACCTGGCGCTGGTCGCCGGTACCCTTTGAAATGTGCGCAAGTCCGAGCTGGTGAGCCAGCGTGTGGATAGTGCGGCGCTGCAGCGGAGCCAGGTTGGCCGGGAACGTCATGCTGTCACGGTCCTTGGACTCCTTGAACAGGAGGAGCTGCGTGTAAAACTGCAGCGACTGGGGGTCGTTGAGGTCGACATCTAGACTGCCGTCAGCTGCATCATTCGCCACGTGTCTGGCGGCGTCGCTCGACATACCGACGGTCTTTTGGCCACTGCCCCTCATGGCGGAGACGGGCGAAGGCGAAGTGGCGGGCATGTGTGAGGCAAGAGAGCCAAACGACGCCTGCGACTGCAGGCCGCCACCGAGCGGGCGGTGTTGCTCCTCGAGCTGTCCGCGGCGCTCACGCTTCTCGCGCTCGATGCGCTCGCGCTCGGCGAGCGGCAGCATCTTCTTGTACTCGACGCGCAGTTTCCTGCCGTTGAGCTCAAAGTGGTTCATCGACTCGATGACGGCGGCGGTTTCCTCGGCCGTTGTGAAGTTGGCAAAGGCCAGGCCGCGGAAGACGCCATTGTCAAAGTGGTAGTTGAAGGCGTAGGGCAGGGGCAGACGCAGCTCCGTCATGAGCGAAACCAGCTGCTCCTTTTTCACGGCAAAGGGTATGTTTTTGATGACGATGGCCGTGGGGATGAGCTCCTCGTCGACGTCGTGGCCGTAGCTGTTGGTCTGCATCGTGTTCAGGTTGGTGTTGCTGAGGGCGAAGCTGGGCAGACCCTGGGGCTGCTGCTGCTGGTCCATCCAGCCCTGGAAAGCGTGTGTCAGTCCGAGTCGTCGTTTTTGTCGTATCTCGCACGCAAATAGAGAAGAAAAGAAAGAGCAAGAAAAAAACTGGCGGTTGCGAGGGAGAGGAGAGAGCTTACCGATGGCAGCGCACTGCGGCCGCCCTGGCGCTGCTGCGACTTGATGCGGGCGGCGGCGGCACCCCCCAGCGAGCCCAGGCCGGTGTTCTGGGCAAAGGCATTCGTGTTCCAGGCGGCAGCCGAGGCCATGTCGTAGCCGTAGCTGCCGGCGTGGATGGTCTGGTTGAGGCGCTCGTAGGAGCGAGGCTGTTCGTAAGCGCGCTGGTGGTCGTCCTGGGCGTACATGTTGGGCTGGGGCACTTGGCCGTAGGCGTCGAACTGGCGCGAGGGCATTCGGTGCAGAGAGCCGGGCTGGGGCTGGTTTCGTTGGGCAATGGGGGACCGCGACGTGCTCTGGTCGTAGCCCGACGAGTACATTATATGCGGTGAGGATTAGGGGGGTGGTCCGGGTCGTCAAGAGGACGTAGCGTGAGGGTTGCGAGGGAGGAGCAGCAGAAAATTAGGGCGGAGGTACGAGTCGGTGGCCCAAGCTCGCGGAGTGGTGAAATGAGCGGAAGGCGACGGTCGCGAACGGGTCCAGGACGAGCGAAGGGGTCGGGATGGGAAAAGGGGGTGTGGGTGTGGGTGAGAGATGAGGCTCGAGCCGCCGCGGTCGAGGGCTGGCGTGCGTGACGGACGGGCAATAACCAGGGATGGAGGGGCCAGGCGGACCAGGCGTTTGGCTTTGTGGCCTCTGGGGGGGGACGGCGGACGAGCGTGTTCCTGTCTTCCCCTGTGACGCCGCACGTTTTTTTATTTTTTATGGCTGCGCTGGGGGCTGGGGGGGGGGGGAGTTGAGACGGGGCGGGCTCAGGGCAGGGCGGGCAGGGCAGACAGGCAGACAGGGAGGACAGGCTAGCAGACGTCAAGAAGGTTCGCCAGGCGCCTAGCAGGACCCGAGCAGGCGGCGGCGGCGAGGGAGAAAGCTGTGTGTGTGTGTGGGTGTGGGTGGGCTGGGCGTAGTCAGGGACGACGAAGGAGGAGCTCCGAAAGAGAGAAGGGCGGCGGCCGCTTATGCTTTGGGTTGCAAAAGTCTCTCCAGCGCCCGCTAACGGCGCGGGGAGACGGCTGCACACGTGCGCACACGCTCCTGGCGAGTCGACGGCCAGAGCAGAGAGGCAGACGGCTGCAACGCGCATGCCCGCCCAGCATTCGCTCAACACTCGCTGCCCAGCCCGCCAGCCCGCCAGCCCGTTCCAACTCGGCCTCTTCCTCGTGCTGCGACTGCTACTTGCTGCTTGCTAGTTTCGCTGCGCACGCGTTTACGGCGCTGAGCCTGCCAGTCCCAGGCCCAGCGCCAGTGCTGCTGATGCCACCCCCCTCCCCCCCCGTCCTCGCAGTCGTATTCCTGGCCACGCCCGCCCACGCTCTCCCTGTCTGGCTGCTGACACGCCATTCCATTCATTATTAGTACTATGACTGTGGCCGGCATAATGCCTGTACGGCACAAAGGCCCCATTACTCGCGGCACCACTCGCTCGCGCGCGCCCTCTCTTTCTCTCTCTCTCTCGTTCGCGCGCCAGGACGCGCCACAGCCCCCCCTCCCCCCCGGCACAGACGTCCAAGTACGTACCACGACTGCTACTACGCCTATGTATGTACTAGCAGGTCTACTGTGTGCCCGTCTACATATCAATGTAATGTACACAGGCACAGCGACGGCAGAAAGGACGGACTGGCTGGCCCGGCGTTCTGGAAGTCGCCAGGTGGCGGGCCGTAGCGTTAGCTTCCCTGCTAATAACGTCGTCGACCACGACAAAACCCTCTCCAGGGACATCTCTCAAACTACTACTACTACCACTACTACTACCACCACCACCACCACCACCACCACTACCACCACTACGCCCTCTGCGCCCGCCTCTGCCCGCCGCAATCGCTGCAGCGCCCAGATGCAAACATGCGGTCAGGACAGGACGAACCCGAGGCTCCTGCGTTTCTCCCACTCCCAAGCCCGGTCACGACGCTCGGGGAACATGATGGCGCCCACCACACGTCGTCAGCTGCACGTTGCCACCGGTAATCTCCCGGTCTATGTACCCTTCACCACCACCGCTGCTGCTGCTACTGCTGCACCCCAGATGACATGTGCAGTCTGTGTGCACAGTAATGACCTTGCATAGCGCCCTGTCCCCCGTCCCCTCTCTATTCATTCGCTATCCACGCTTGCACAACCCCCCAACACTCGTACAGTCAGCCCCCCCCCCATGCCCCATTTCACACACCCATCCCCATCTACGCCCACACACACACACACGCACACATATAACGCGCCCTCACACACGCATCGCGGACCCGACACGAGGGCTTGCCAACCACTCGCCATGTCGCACTCCATGTCCATACCCACTGCAAACGGGGCTCCCCATTTCGATAAGGCTAGGAATAATTTCGGCCGCCCTCTTGGCCACTACAAGTCGATCACAAAGGGCTTCCCGCTTTTATCAAGTTTCCGACTGGCTGCGCCCTCCTCATGTCGTTGGAAGGATCGCTTAGACGCATGCATGGAAAATCATGTGATGCAAGCCACTCGTCTTCCTGCCCGCGACCGCGGCCTTGTTTTTTTTTTCCTTTCTTCGTCTTCTATTCCTCGTGCGCCCTCTGCTCGCCATGGCATGCGCCATAATTCGTCCAACACAACAACTGTGCCTGTTCCTCCTACACCTCCCCCCCTGCATGCATGCCCCTCAGTCGTCAAAGTCGAGCAGTCGTGACCATTCCGTCTCGCCCACCCGTCGGAACTCGGCCCCTGCTGCAAACTGCCCGCTCGCTTCCCATGCCTGCATGGTTGCTTGGTCGTAGGGTCCATTGACATCGCCCTCGGCTGCGTTGAGCCAGTGGAACTCCCACTGCACTGCTTCAGGGTTAGGCTTCCTCCAGTCTTCTCCCGTCTCGCGCTTGTACTGCCGCATAATCGATTCACGCGGCAGCTCGTAAATATCCTCGACCCCACGGTCGGACAGACGGCTGGCACACTCGGTTATTGAGTCAATCACCTGCTTTGCCTTGGCCGCTGCTGCTTCCTGTGCGGGATCTGCATCCACTTCCATGGTCTCGCCCTTCTTCTTTTTCTTGGCCCAGTGGTTGTTGCTCGCCTTCTTTGGCGCCGCCTTGCCATATCGCACTAGCGCCTCCATGGGCGTCTCTCCTACTTCGAGGTGCGCAATCAGCGTCGACAGCACGTCGCTCGTCGCTATCGAGTCTTCGGCGCGCTCGCGCGCTTTTCGCTCCGCATCCCTCTTTTCCTGCGCCTCCTTGGCCTTCTTCATGTCCTTCTTGGATATGCCCTCGAGCCACGAATCCTGCACCGCCTCGGGGTCAAACGCCTTGCGCACGTAGTTGCCCGCCTCGTCAAACCGCCCCTCTTCCTGCTCTGCGCGCATGTTGAAGGCGTCCAGCTTGGGCGCATGCTTCTTCTTGCTGCCCGCACCCAGCTCCTCGTCCATGTCCGAGTCGAGCCGGTCGCGCTCTTCGTCGTCGCCCTCGTCGCTGCTGCTCTCCACCTCATCCGTGGCACCCTTTGCGTCTTTTGTGAAATTTGCAGCCACGTGACCTCCCGACTTGCTGCTTTCTTCCTGCCCTTCAATCTCGGCGTTGTCCAAGAAGCGCAGTTTCTTCTTGTCCGTTTGCCCTCTCCGTAGCTCCTCGTCCTGCTCCTCGTCCTTGTCCTCCTCTGCAAACATGTCATCGTCATCATCCTCGTCTTTGGCAGGCTTTTCTTTTTTATGGCTGGCCTCTGCGCGGACGTCAAAGTTCTCCGTGGAGCTGTCGGAATCGTAGCCGTCAATATTGACGGCGTTCCGCTTGATGCCGGCACTTTTCCCTATAACATCGGCTTCCAATGCAGGGTCGTCGTCGTCGTCGTCAGCGGCATCCTGGGCGAGTGTCGAGGGATTGCGCGGATCGAAGCGAGGTTTCTTCGTCGACGGCTCGTCCTTGTCCATGGGGTGAGTGCGTGCAAAGTGCTCGCCGGCGCGCTTTGGCCGTGCAGGATTGTAGGTGCCGCTCGAGCTGGCCATGGTGTGAGCGAGTGTGTGGAATGAGGTGAGGCTTGGGTATTGGGCCAGTGACGTACGTCTTCGCGCGCTCTAGAAATTTGGAGCTTGGGCCACCTGCGGCGTTAGCACTGAGGTTCCGACATGCGCTTGTGGCTCAAACAGTTTCCCCTACTGTGGTTACCTAGGGTTGCTAGCCTAGGCTTCGTCATCTGCGATCCCATACTTACATCCATACTTACATACGTCTCCCGCTTCTATCGCCTGCTCCGAGTTTCCTGCTCGTCCCTACCCCTCTCCCTTCTACCCGCAGGCCTTCCTGACTCCATCTTCGCTCATTCATCCCGTATCCAAAATGGTGAGAGGCGCCCCGCCACTACCTCTGTCCTGCTTCTCAACTCACCACCTCTAGTTCAATCCAAACTTTTACGACCAAGACGATCCCATGGCCATGTACCAAGCCATGCGACGCGGCGGCGCTCCCCGGCGCTTCGACGAATACTTCCGTTGCTACCCCATTGCCATGCTGCCTGGCCCCGAGCGCCCAGAGGCAAACCACGGCGGCAAGGTGTTTCTTCCTCCCAGCGCTCTCGACAAGCTCACTCGGCTGCACATCACATACCCTATGCTCTTTGAGCTCATCAATGGAAAGCAAGACGGAAAGAAGACGCACGCAGGTGTGCTGGAGTTTATTGCAGAAGAAGGCAAGATCTATCTGCCGTACTGGCTGATGGAGACGCTCAAGCTGGAACCTGGGGATCTCCTGCAAGTCAAGTCGACCGACATACCTCTCGGCACCTTTATCAAGCTCCAGCCCCAAGACTCGTCCTTCCTGGAAATCTCGGACCCAAAGGCCGTCCTCGAAAACGCGTTTCGCAACTTTTCGTGCCTCACCACGGGCGACATCTTCACATTTTCGTATAATGACAATGTGTACAGCATAGCCGTGCTCGAGACCAGGCCAGACCATCCAAGCAAGGCTGTATGCACCATTGAGACGGACCTGTCAGTTGACTTTGCACCACCAGTGGGCTACCAGGAGCCACAGAAGACTAGCGGAACTAGTACGCCGCGGAGCGGAAAGGGCGTCATGGCTGGCAAGGGCGGAACTCTGCATGCTCACGGCACCATGGCGGAAGCGATCAACTATGCGGCCATTGCGCCCTCTGCGACGACTGCGGCCAATGGAGCAAAAGCAACATCATCAAACTTTATCAGCACAGGCCACAAGCTACTTAAGAAGGGCAGCAAGGCACCTACCCCGCAAGCCTCGACACCTGTTGCCGGACAATCGACAAACCCACCACCGGTCGTGCGGCGCTCCAACGGTCCACAGCCCCTCAGATTGCCACCCAGCAAGCTGTTCTTCGGGTACGAGATTACCCCGCTCAAGAACAAGGAAGAGGAAGGCGAGCAAAAGGATTCGAAGCACTTTGAGGGTTCAGGCCAAACTCTGCGGAAGAAGAAGGGCGACAAATGAGGTAATGGACTGGGTGGAATGGGAGACAGGGACCGTTTTTGATACGCAATGCTCGGAAAGGAAAGCATTTCATGGCGTTGGCAAGGATAGGAAATAAGGCGTTTGCACCTATACCATGGGGCGGTTATAGAGAGACGAATGAATACTTGCCTCTTTCTAATGTGTTGACTTGATGGACGGTGTTGACAGGATTGATACGGCAAGGATGAAATGAGAACAGGCAGGCAGCTAATAAACCCATGAATTGCATTTGCTGGATGATTTTGACTATATCGACTGCACGAAGAGTGGTTGCAGTCAGTCCATCAAATCATGATATGAAACCTTTCCACCCCATTACCATTACCATTACCATACCCATGGTGAAGTACAAAAAAAACAAAGAGAGACAATCCTCATCCCATCATTCCATTTATGCAACCTCATAAACATCATGAGACTCTGTTTGAACTAACCCCCAACTTCCCGTCATGACTCTCCCCTTTTTTTCTCGCTCTCGCACTGCTTTTCTCTGTTTTTCAAACTTGAGTCTCAACTTCCTCCTCCTTGATACCACCACCACCACCACCACCATCGAGTCCATTCTCCGTCTCCGTCTCCGTCTCCGCAGCACTAGCAGAAGTCTCTTCTTCCTTCTTCTGCTTGGATTTACGCGCACGCGGCTTCTTGGTCGGCGTCTCGGTATCTGCATCGTCGGCGGAACGCTTGTTCTTGTTGGGCGTCGCAGTGCTGCTGCTGCTGTTGTTGTCCTTTGCCGGCGTCTCCGTCTTGCGCAGTTTGGCGCCGCCTTCAGGAAGAACCCAGCCGTACTCGTCGTACAGCTTGCGCTGCTCCACGCGGAACCGCGACACCTTGATTTTGACCCCGTTGTAGTTTGTCCCCGGGAACACCGTCACGAGGCGCTCGTAGTCTTCAGATGTGAGGTAGCGGCCTTGGATTAGCACGAGGAGCTGTGAGGGGGGCGTGTCAGTGTGTCAGTGTGTCAGTGAGGAGGAGGAGAGAAGGGGTTCGAGTTACCTTGCGCTCGTTTTCGAGGGTCCAGCGGAAAGTCTGGGAGAAAGTTGTAAGTTTTGGGTTCAGCTGGGAGGGAAGCAGAGTGAGTGTACTTACACCGCCCTCAGCTTCAGTGCCATCGCTTGCGGCGACCTTTTTCTTGGGAGGCATGTCAAGTGTTTTTTTTGGTTGGGGTTTGGGCGGTTGGAAGATCTTGAAAGTTGTTTGAGGTGGTGGGATGGAAAAAGAGTGTTGGAGAAAAAGACAGTGCAAGGAGGGGGTTTTATATTAGATAGTGGAATCTGGATTAGGGAATTATGAGTGAGGGCGGATGAAGGTGAGAGTGAGGGCTGCTAGTTTGAGTGAGGATGAGCTAGGTGCCCTCAGCCTTCACTTGACGTCCAGCTGAACAGCACTGGTGTGTAGGGAGAATATTCACTGGTCAATGACGAGCGACTACGCGATATTGGTCCATGCTACGGATTGTCTTGCAGTCTTGAGGTGAAAGGAGAGTATCCCTGGGTAATTGGCACAACGCACGATATTGGACATGTTGTGTGTCGTCTTGACAGTGTTGGTGTGACAGGAGAATATTCACTGGATAATTGGCACAACGCGCGATATTGGACATGTTGTGTGTGTCGTCCTCGCAGTTGTTTGAATTTGATTTCTACCAAGTCTGCAGACATACAAATCTCGCACAAGCCATCGTCTGGCTCTTCTCAGACTGTTCGAATTCACGATATAGCCGACGACACGAATACTACACCCGTCGTCCTGTAACATGGCCGCAGTGAGTATCTTGACAAAGGAGTGAAAAGCAACAGCAGGACTTGATTGGCCCACGTCCAGAGTACCCAAAGGGCCATATGTGAGGCGTGGGTGGAAATGTACAGTAGCAGCAGAGCAGACTAGGGAAACGGGCCAAAGCATATATATAAAACAAAACGCGTAAAGAAAAAAAAGTAAACCAGACAGACGGGCTACTCGGTAATGCTCACATAAGCCAGCGGCGACGACGGATTGGTAGGTAGCACGCGGATGGCGGTTTCACGCAGCAATTCTCGTCCGGCGTATAAATGGAACGCGTGGAGCCGGGGGGTGGGAGGCGTCGTCATGGGGCGGGCGGGTTCGTATCGTCGGCGGGTGCAGCAGGTACATACGTACGTGGGCGTTTGGGCGCAGTGGCTGTGGCTGTCTGGCGTGCGTCTGGTGACTTTGATGGCTGGGGGCACGGCAAAGCCTCACTGGGGCAGGCCGGGCGGTGTTTGGGGTTTGGGGTCGGGCCGGGCGTGTGCGCCTAGGAATTTAGGGCTGACTCTGGAGGCGGGCCCGTGCGCGCAGGTACGTCTTCCGCCGCCCTGCCGCCGCCGCCTCCCAACGACGTCGCCGTTTACTCGGACTTCCGCCTCACCATCAGCCCAGCAGCGCCGCCAGACGCCCGGATCGCCTTTTATGTAAGACGACGCGACTCGCACGCGACTCTCCTCTGCTCAGCTTCATCCAGCATCCACCGCGCCCTCGCTGTGGCGCCGAGCACTCGCACTGGGCACCGCGCCCGCCGGCCTGAAGCGTAGGTTTCGGCTTTGCACGCGGCACCAGGTCAATCTATCTCCATCGTGCCGTGCTGATGGCTCCGGTGCCGCCGGTAGCGCTCCTGTTTCTTGCTCTTTCTCCGTCTCCTCCGCCGTCGCCTTGGACCTGGCTGTGACTGGCGGGCAGCCCTCACGCCACACCCGTCGACTGACGACGAAACCATGTGCATGTGTGCCGCTGAGACACGACGAGGGGCCATGCTCCCAGAGCCCCCGGCATGCCACTCGGCAGCCAAGGCCACCGCCAAAAGACGCCCAGCCTGCGAAGCATGTCTTCGTGGCTTGCTGTTCGGACTTGCTGCTTGAACTCAGATGACTACGGGCCCACTGCTTCAACGTGGCTGAGCACACCAATCGACACCCCTACTGTAGCTCCTCTCCACGCCCATGGCCTCTTAGCGTCACGTAACTTGACCTGTCAATTTCCTCAAAGGTTAGCTACGGCCAATGGCGTCGCCGCCAGACAGGGGCACGCTTCCGTTGCTCTCCTGCTTCGACACGCTGCCTATACAGCCAGCTTGCTGAAAAACGTCCTTTGCCGCCCAGTTGCTGTACAATGTACTCGTGGATCCATTCGTCGCCGTCCTGCTTCAAGCCTCCTCTTCTTCCCCCTCTTCTCCTGCTCGTTCATGTCTCTACCCACTTGGACTACTACCAGCGTACACGACAGTCCATCACAAATACCCCCCAGCTCCGCTTCGCCTCAGAATGTGCATTCGCGTCGTTGAGAAATTCCCAGTCTGTGGCTGTATCTATCATGTCCACTCAGTGGACCGTTGCGCCTCATATGGACGACATCCCGTCGTCGACAAGATCATCTGGGTCGGGGCTTCGTGTGAGGAGCATACCAGCCGGAAGAGCCACCAGATGCATTTTGCGAGGATGAGCAGCTTGTACAGCACCACCACCACCTCCTCCTCCTCCTCTTGTCTGGCCGATACATTGGTCCTTTCCACCAAATAGCCAGCGAAGCCCTTGTGGTCGAGACAGCCAAAAAAAAACCACACGGGTTGCTGGTGGAAATGGCCAGTGGCATTTTCCAGACCCAATTTGGAAGGTAAACTACCACCCGTCAGTGTGCTGTGGGTCCTGGACATGACACGAATTACAGGCTGATACAAAGGACAGTGCTCTATGATCGCCAGTACCATACCAGATTGTTATGACTCAGTCAAGATGCCATCCCGAACGTAGATCACTGCCGGCTTGCGACGTCGTAACCCACCGGACGGCTCGCACTTACCCAGGCAATAGATGACCCAGCAAAGAAAAAAACAACAGACATGACCACCGGAAACGTGCGCAAAGCTGTGCTTGAAGTTGCGACCACGCATGCCATCTCTGCGACATGGCGTCAGCTGACTGGGCTCCAAAAGAGCTGTTTGTACAAGATAGCCCAAGAGTTGCAACTGCCGAACGGCTGGCGAGCCCCACGCTGTCCCCCCTCGTTCTCTCAACGCCTTTGCGACTATCTGAATTACGTGTTGAATTATATTCGGTGGTATACGACACCCCCCAAACCCACCGAGAAGATCCAAGCCCAGCAGCCAGCACGTGTTGGTCCGCCTTGCGCCTCACGTCGCCGTGCCCAGGTCCTCTTTTTTTCGCCAGGGAAGATCCCTAGTCCAGGTCATCCTCACACCACCAGAGAGACTGGGGCATGTTGACAGGGCCCAGCGTTTACTCGATATGGTGGGCAGCCAGGCGTCGTGTCCAATGAACCGCGGGGCCCCCAGTTATGTAGGTTCAGCAGGGGTCAGTTTTGTGCCCGCCCAGGTTTCGGACCCGCATTATGTACATGTTGTCCTTCTCGGCCAAGGCTTCGAATCCGGTACAGCACCAACGGCTTTTTGCCCTCGACAAATGGTCACGGTGAAGCCTTTTGGAGCGGGCGCGGCCATGGAGAGAAAAAAAAACAGCGTGTGCGGAGTTTGTTCCGGATATCGCTTGTTCCCGCCGTTTCTTGCTTAAACAGGCTGGTCTCTGTCTCTCTCGTGTACTATTTGTTTTTTTTGCTAACATGGTCTTGCTCTTGTCCTCATTCGCAGACTGCTCATATACGGCGACATGTGGGTGCAGGAAGAGGTCAAACTCAATTCCTGACCTTGGCGTGGGTTTCACAAGTACGAGGGTCTTCGCTGTATTTGCCCACTCTTAGTTTTGTCCGATGTCCGAGGTTACTGGCTCAGCGTGGAAGACGTGATGGGGGGGGGTTGGCAAGACTGGAGTATAGAGGCGCCAGTATATATCATTCTAGCCATTATTTTATTCTTAATTTTTTTTTACAAGGATGATTCTGGATGTCTGGTCGTGGTAGTAGTAATACCATTACGGATGTGTTTTGTATGCGGATAATTAAGAGCCAAATAATTATAAGAGGGCATTCAAGCACAAACGAACAAAGTCGGGATGAATGTCGGTCACGGCCCACACTCAACTTGTGCCTCTGAAACTTCCTCTTCTGGAACGGGCACCATAGCGCTGTTTTTTTTAATCTCTTTTATTTTTGGGAGGGGGGGGAGGGGGAGGGAATCTGAACAGGGCAAGTCGTAGCGATGAACAATGTCGCACTGCGGGGTTTGCCATGTTATGTCAAGAGTCGGTGTAGCCAACACTCAAGTGTATGTGTGTGTTTACGTACATTACGTACATTACGTATGTGTGTATGTGTGTATGTGTGTGTGTGTGTGTGTATGTCTTGGGGGGGGGGTTTTGTTTCGGCTTTGCCGTCGGATATAGTCCGATGTGCTGCTACTCTTACATACGTCCACCAGTTCCGTGCACAAGTTCCGTTTCCCGCCCCCAGTAGATCCCGATCACTCACTTTCCTCCCCCTCCTCCTCCTCCTCCTACACTCCGCCCTCCATTCCCCGTCGTTATATACGACGGACGCATCACATGGACCGCTTGTTTGCTACTCTCTCTCTCTCTCCCCCTCTCTCCCTGTTGGACCATTTTGGTTCCCCGCAAATTCTCGTCCGGGAGGGGGACCACATAGATACTCACAGCTCCACTTCTTGGCTAGTGTGTGTGTGTTTGCAGGACGGGAGGGAGGGGTGTGCAAGTGTGAGTGGGGTCTTGTGAGCCATGGGATGTGCATGCAGGTCTCTAGGGGGGCGGGCATATCACATATCACAGCACAGCACATCACATAGCACATCACATACATAAATAGCCATGGCCTGTTGGGTGGGGGCCCAACGAACAAGAACGAGGGGCAACATGGGTAAATCAGTTTGTTGCAGTGCATTTTTTATACAAATGCAGACTGGGGCCACGTATTCTAGTCTTTTGGGCTTTCCCACAGGGCAAGCGCGGGGGTGCTAATCACAGGACGGCTGCGATTATGTAGCATGACGTGACGACATACAACAAGTGGCCTGGTGGTGGGGGGGAGGGGGGAAAGCAGACAAGTTACGTCACGTGGAAGTTTGAGCGAGGGAAACTCGAGTGTAGATCGAAAAACTTGGCTTTTCTTCGCTGCTGGCACACTCTCACACTGATCGCCGGGTGATCCCATGGTCACATGTGTGTAGGTGTGTGTGTGTGTGTGATTCACATTTGGCGCTATGAGTGGATATGTGTGGGTATGTATATATATATATATATGTATGTATGTATGTATGTATGTATGTATGTACAAGCTGCATACACAACGATTACATCCGTCTGTGCGTATTGATTGTACTTTATTAAAATAGACTAAGATTCAAGACATTTGGCTGTGAGTAAGAAAGTAGCCAAACCAAGTATGCAGGTAAGAAGGAAAGCATGACAAATGTGCTTGTAAGCAAAACAAACAAAAAAAGCTTCAAACTAGACTTTTGCTTACGTACGACAAGTACTTGGTTTCTTGACTTAACTTACCCTCATTGATCTACGTACCTACGTACGTATGTAGTAGTGTTAGTACAAACTACTATTACTATTACTGCTACTGGTACTACTACTACTAATGTATATTATTACGTATTCCTATAGACATGAATAGTTAATATGCCGAACCTTTTATTTTTGTTACAAACCACGGGATAAGAATACATCGATATCTTACTACAGTAGTACGCTTCGTATCTAGTTTCCAGTTGCATAACATGCGAACTTGGTGTGAATTTTTTTCTAAACAGCGTCATCTTGTGTTAATATGCTCCAAGTATTATATTCCTGTCTTCTATATATATTGTTGATGTTTTCAAAATACGTAAGCTAATCTGGTATTACATGCATACGAGCTCCGTGTCAGATGGAACAGCCGGATGTGTGCTTGGTCATCTTACTAATATGCCTCATCAAACATTTATCGATTTCCACCAGTAACTTCACCGTGCTGACGTAAAAGGAAGAAAGGTAGCAAAGTATTCTTTCATTTCTAATCCATTTCCGCTAGTCTCGCGTATATGCATGTAGCATACAAAGTTGAGCCTATCGTTGCCGCTAGAATACCACCGAAAGGGTCCGTAAGTCTCCCCATTGCTTGTAGCCGCTGCTTTTTTTTTCCAAGGGGAAAGGGTTACATATCTAGGCTATATTGATTCGCTATCATTTCAAGGAGAAAAGAGGATTCGTCAAGACATCATCATCGCTCGTTTCTATAATATCGAAAAATGTAGGGTGGCGATAGAGAAAAATGATCAAGAAAAAAAAAGCCAAAGCCAATAGCAAGAAAAGGCCAAACCAATCAATGCGCCTCGGTATGCTCTTCCTTGGGCTTGTACATGATGGTGGTCAAGAACTGCCAAGTCGTCAGTGCTGATGCCTAGTAGAAGCTTATGCGCAAGAGTGGGGTGGGTGACGTACCTTTTGCTTGTATCTTGTAGTAGCACTCGTGGCCAAGATATTATCTTTGATGCTGCTTGTTGCAAGATGGTTGAGCACCGTGTGATTGGGATGGATCAAAACGCTGCTGTCATCCTTCATGGGCGTAGTGCCGTTTAGAATGCTCTTGCCTAGGAAACCCGGAAGCGTGGGTGGTGTGGGCAGGTTGTTGGTCATGGCATTGGCGCGTGCAAACCGAGACGATTCTTCTGGGGCATCGAGGTCGAGCAGGTAGCGGGGAATGTTTTGATGGTACTTCTTGGTGGGCTCGGGAACGACTGGTTTCGGCGGCTCGGGCAGAGGGGCTTTGATGGGCTGGACTTCGGGCGCTGGTGGGAGGACCTGGGGCGGGTACATGCCGGCGGGAGCCTCACGTTCCTGCACGGGAACCGTCGTGTCGGGCGCGTCCTTTGTATCCTTGGACGGGCTGTCTACCAGGGGCTGTGGCTCGGGATACGGCACTTCAATGTAGTTGACAAGAATGTTGGTGTAGTCTACGGCGGTCGGCAGCTTATCGCTCGTCCGCATGTCGTTATCGACGAGAAAGGTAAGATGGTGGGTGCCTGGCGTGACCGAAACATAGGCAGAAAGGGCATCCTTTTTCTTGCTGGGGCCACTACAGAGAAGTGTTAGTGCTGTCTTGGAGAGAAGAGAAGAGAAGAGAAAAAAAATGGACACATACTTTCGATGGAGCCTGTACTTGCGGTTCCAGCCTGCAAAAGTACCCGTGACATAGACGCGCTCGCCAGGCCCTTCCCACTCAATCAGGGTGGGGACGGTTGGGCGGCCGGTGCTGGGGCCCTTGAACTCGTCGCCCAGATCCTCGTCGTCGGCCGTGGTGGTGCTCAGCATCGAGGAGCGGCGGGGAAGCATGCCCTCGGCGTCGTTGTCGAGGATGGGGCTCCATATTTCCTCTGGGGAGATGATGGGGGAGCCGGGGGTATGGACCTCCTCTTCAATGGGCAGCGGCATGCGAGGGGGGCGGCTGAACTGCGACGAGGGAATGAGGTAGTCGGAGGCATCGGCGGGGTCTATCGAGGCTGGGATTTCAGCCTCTTCTCGCGGTAGGGCGGGCACGTCGACGGGCAGTGTGGGCTCAGGCGGGGGCGGGGGCGAGGGGTCGGCGGGGGGCTCTGGCTGCTGGTGCGGGTGCTGCTGGTGTTGTTGCACTGGAGGAGAGACTGCTGGAGGCGTTGCTAGAGGCTGCGACTGAGGCGGGGTGGTGTGGATTGTTGGTGTTGTCATCATGGTCGTCGTCGCCGCCGCCGCCGCCGTCGCCGCATCGCGGGCGGCCTTGTCCCTCTCCCTCTCGCGCTCGCGGTCCTTGTGGTGATGGCCCTTCTGGCTGCTCTGCTCGTTGCCCATGGCGTCGTGCTGGGGCGGGGGGCGGAATTGGTCCTGGGCGGCGCGCAGCTGGCTGGCGACAGCTTTGGTGCTAGTCCCTATGGTTTGCGCGCGTCCACGCGAGTGCGGGCGGGTCGAGCTCTCGGCGTTCTCGAGGCTCACCGAGGGGGCGGCAAGGGCTTTGGCGGCGCTGAGTGCCTGGATCGACTCTCGCCGTCGCGCCGAGTGGTGCTGGCTGTGCGGGTACGGGTGCGGATGCAAGTGCGCGTGCTGCTGCGGGTGCGGGTGGGCGTGGGCGTGGGCGTGGCCATGTGATGAGGGCGACTGCGGGTTGGACGAGGGGGTCGTCGAGCGCGAGTTCTGGTTGCCCATGGTCGTCGGCTGCCCGCTCGAGCCAGAGGCAGGGCGGCCTCCGCGATGTATGTACGTATGTACGTATGTATGTATGGATGTATGTATGTATGTATGTATGGATGAATGAATATATGTATGTACGTCCGTCCGTCTGTCTGTATGTACGCCTGTATGGATGCATGCATGCACTCGTGCTATCGCGCCCCGGCCTGCCTTGCACTTGGGCACTGCCTGCAGCAGACGTACAGGGTCTGTAGGTAACGACTTAGCTTTCGGGGGGTTGTCGGCAGCCACAGCAGGCGGCGGCGCAGGTAGTAGAAAGACGACTATTGATTACCTCAATCTGCTCGAGCCACTTGACGTTGAAGGGGAGGGCGATGATGGCGATGGCGGCGTGGGCGAGGTGGACAAAGGGGAGCAGGGCAAAGATGGTGAGGGCGTACAAGGGGCGCAGCAGCACGACGAGGGCGTTGATGGAGGTAGTGAGGGGCCACGAGGCGAGGCGGGCGAGCAGCACGGCGAGGCGGCAGGCCGTGGAGAGGAGGGCGGCGGCATCCATGGGGCAGACGGGAGGGAGGTAGCGATAGGTACATAGAGTATACAGTATGGGGGGGGGGGATAGGCGGGAGGGGCAGCGTTGTCGGCATCATTGGCTCGTGCGGAGCAGTATCGGCGATGGAGGCAGCAATGCAAATGTTAATAATCCCTGTGTGCCGTCCTTGGCACGGCTGGCCTCATAGGCTCCATCGCCGGCACCCTCCTCTTCATCCTCTTCAAGCTTCTGTCAGCGGCCCTGAGCATCCATGGCCCCGCCGTTCCTGACAAGCCCGACGAGGCGAGGTCCGCCGCCCAGTACCGCGCTGCCCGTCGTGTGAAAAAGGAACAAGACGCCGTCTTGGACGCGCCAAGTCCCGCCCCCGTGCTTCTAAAAAAGCCTGCCGAGCCCACAAGGCGCGGACCCGTCTCCCACGCCACCCTCCACGAAGACGATTCCGACTATTGACCTGTCCGCCGTGCGGCTAGACTGCACTCTCCGAAGCCGGTGGGTCAATCACCAAAGCAGAGCGTCCACACTCGTTGCATTGCCATGTTGCTAGTTGAATGCTCGGCCTGCCTGGACACGGTCCTTGTCTCGTCTTGGAGTTTGCCGGCCAAGATATCGTCGACATGGACGACACCTCAGGACATGTTCTCCGCAATCGAGGCCGCGGCACCGGCTGCGGTCCATGTTCATCCTGATTCGTACTAGCCAGAGTAAGCCAGTGGAGGATAACAGTCGTCCATGTGACTACGTTTGGCACAGTCAGCAACAGCCCTGGGCATTTCGTAGCAGTAGCACAGTAAACCTACCATCCAATACGCAGATTATGAGGCAGACCTAAAAGCCACCCGTGTCAGCACCCTACCTGTCTCTGCAACTGCCTGACTGACAAAAGCCGGCATCTTGCCCTCGAGAATGCACAGCGCAGCCAGATTGGCCGTCGTCGGAAACACCACGACGGCACATCCGACGAGCGTCTTCCACAGCAGCCGCTGCACTTTTTGGGCCATGACGGGATTGGTTGCGTAGAGATCAATGCCCGTTTTCTGCTCTGTCCGGACGCAGCACTTGCAAATGGCCCGGGTCAACCGGCTCGCAAAACCCGTGCTCGACATGTGACTTGCCGCGACCAGCGGGCTGAGCAGGTAGATGAAGACGACGGTGAGAAATACGTTGATGAACAGGTCGCACAGGAGCAGCGATATACCGGCGTACGGCCGGACTCCAATCCGGCAGCGGCCATCGGCTTCCGAGAGCGACGACACGGGCGAGACAACTCCGGCCATGGCAATTGCTCCGAGGCTGCTCACAACGGCAATGGTGCTGAAAAGCCACAGGAAATCACGGTGCCTCGGCAGGTACGAGGCGCTCACCAGATGGACGCGCTCGATGAGGAAGAGATACCTGCCAAGGGGCAGCGTGAGCCTGTGCATGCACTACACAAGGGGAGCGAAACATGGTGCCGGCCAACGTACATGGCCACTTTGCAGCCGGCGTAAAAGACCAAGCAGAGTCTCATGGTCGCCTGGCACGCATGACCCGTTGTAATGCCGACGCCATTGTGGATAATGGCGGCTGAGACAATAAACCCGATGGACAAGACGTAATCAGCAAGGACGTAGACGTGCGTTAGGGTTAGGTTCTTGAAGCAATGCTGGTTGAAGTGGCGAATGCGTTATCCTGCTTTGGTCAATGGCCGTCTGGCATGGCGTCAGAGTGCACGCGCGTGAGGAGCGCACCGAGCAGGCCGGAGAGCAGGCAGAGACACAGCTTGGATGTGACGACGAACGACGTGCGTGACTTTAGCGTTTCGCCGTCTTTGACAGACAAGGGTTGGTGCATATCCAGCTGGCTGTGGGCTACGGGTGCCGATGCTGGCAAAGCGGCGAAAACGGGCCAAGTTGTCGGCATAGGAACCAAATGGTGTATGTGTGTATGTGTGTGTGTGTGGGTGTGGGAGAGAGGCTAACAGCTAACGTGGTGCAGGGTAGCGAGGCAAGGGAGTCGTAGCGGGAGGCTGTCTAGGTGGGTGTGGGTGTGGGTGTGGGGGGACGAGTGGTGGTGCAATGCACATGTGCTCGGATTGCGTGGCAGCTAGCGGCTAGGCTGAGACGGGCCTTCCCACGCGCGTCGGTGGGAGGCATACTGCCAAGAGGGGCATACTTGTATGGATGGTGGTGTGTGGGCGAGGGCGAGGGCGAGGGCAGTGGGCAGTGGGCAGTGGGCAGTGGGCAGTGGGCAGTGGGCAGTGGGCAGTGGGCAGTGGGAAGCGGCGACTGGTTGACGTCACGTGCAGCGCTAGCCCTGACTGGGCGTAGGCGTAGAGGACCCCTACTGACGTGCCGTTAGTGTACACTATCAGCAATGCTTGCGAAGGCTCGCAGCTCGCACTCGCACTCGCAGCTCGGCTGAATAGGCGGCACCGAGTCAGCGGCTGCAGCTTATCGGTATCAGTACATGTGCATGTGTACATGTAGGCAGGGTAGCAGTAGCAGTAGCAGTAGCAGTAGCAGTAGGGTTTGGGAGGAACGGCCTGGGTACGTCATGGATAGCGGCCCAGAGACGGCATGTGAAATGGCAGAGTCTTCACACCATGCAACGGGCAGCGCCTTAGCAGTTGGCGTCGCGTGCTGGCCAAGGGCACGCCCAACGGCGGCGCGCCAATTGCGGGCGGGCATCTGGTGCATGCAGTTGCAATGTCCAGCTTTGCGCTGCAGCCTCTCGTCATGGGCGGGGGACACGGCCACGGCTGCACGCAACCAGGCCCGCCAGTGCAAGTGCAAGCGATTCAGCGACGGCGAGTACGCGTCGAGTGAGCATCGGCGACGAGAGCACGAGGGCGAGGGCAGGCCACGCAAGCCGAGAGCTGGCCGTTGGGCTCTACTGGGCATAGTGTCGCGAGCATGGCATACCGCAGCCGATTGATGCCATGGCCGTCGTGGTTGTGTCGTGTGTTAGTCCAACGGGACGCCTGTGCCTGCACCCACCGCTGCAAGGTCGCCGGAACCCTGCGCTAAGCGAGATTGGCCCGAGCACTGCCTCGCTCTCTCGCCCTCTCCACAGCCCGCTTGTGCAAGAGCGCGCGCCATGTTTTTGTTCCTGTTCCTGCCGCACAGCCCGCCCGCCTCTCTCCACCACCACCACCACCTCCTCCTCCTCCCTCTCCTTCTTGCTGTCCTTCTCTCGCCCTCGCTCTTGGTCCTGTCCGCGCCACCACCGCCCATGCCCGACCGCACCTGCCGCTGATATCGCCTCCAACCTCGCCAGCCCGCCGCGACTTTTGGCGCGTATCCCGTCTTTGCTCCGTGCACCCCCCGACGAAAAGGAGACCACCGCCACCACCACCACCACCCGCCACGATGCGGAGAGGCGTCACCATCTTCCTGCTCGTCACCGCCGTCGTCCTCGGCTTTGCCGTCCACAGCGTCTGGACTCTGCTCGGCCTCCTCGTCGCAACCGGCCGCGAGGACGCCATTCTCCGCGGGGAACTGCCTGCGCCAAACTCGAGCGCAATCAACCATGCGCCCCAATTGATCCCCAAGATCATCCACCAGACGTACATCAACGAGAGCATCCCCGCCCACTGGAAGGCCCCCCAGCAGAGCTGCATCGACCTGCACCCCGACTACGAGTACAAGGTACCTTGGCCCAGCCTGCACCCAACAAGTCGCCCCTCCCGCTAACCCCGTCTAGCTGTGGACTGACAAGAAGGCGCGCGAGTTCATTGCCGCAGAATACCCCTGGTTCCTCGAGACTTTTGACGGCTATCCCTACCCCATCCAGCGCGCCGACTCGATCCGATACTTTGTGCTCCACCACTTTGGCGGCATCTACATTGACCTCGACGATGTAAGCACACATGCCTCTCGCAGCCCCCCTCCCCATGCTGCACTGCTGACAAGCCCTAGGGATGCAACCGCAGCCTCGATCCGCTCCTCGCCTACCCAGCATGGGTCCGCCGCACGGTTCCCACGGGCATCTCCAACGATGCCATGGGCGCCATTCCCCGCCATCCCTTCTTCCTCAAGGCCATTGACTCGCTGACCGACTACAACCGCCGCTGGCCGCTGCCCTACATCACCGTCATGGCCTCGACGGGCCCCCTGTTTCTCAGTCTGGTCTGGAGGCACTACAACAACGCCGGCCCCGTCGACGAGGAGCGCGTGCGCATCCTGTTCCCCGAAGAGTACAACAACCACTCGTGGAGCTTCTTCACCCACCACCTCGGCAACAGCTGGCACCGGACCGATGTCAAGGTCATCTTCTGGCTCGCCCGTCACTGGCTGCTCGTCACGATTCTCGGCTTCATTGCCGGCTTCACCATCCTGGGCCTGTTGTACAAGTTCTTCGTCATGAACAAGCGCTCGAGCGGCCCTGGCTCGCCCAAGATCCGCTTCTTGAACCAGCGCATGCCCTTTTACCGTCGCATTAGCCAGAAGAGCTTTGAGCTTGACGACCGCCACGAGGTCTAAGGCAGCACCTTGAGGCGCATTGCATTATTCCAGCGTTGTCCTGTGCCCCGCATTTACCGGCGTTTTCTTTTACTGTCGCTCCGTGTCTTGACTTCGCTCGTAGACTTTTTCTTCTTTTCATCTCATCTATTTGGTGGAGCGCAGTATGCTCTAGTAGCTTGTTTAACTGATTATCTGGAGGGGATTTGACACGGACGGCACGGTTGCTATGTTTTTGGAACGGCTGGGCCACGTCGTATGAAAAAGAAAAAGACATCATAGAGAGCCTCCCTGGGCAGCCAAGAAGAGGCAGAATTGGCACGGTTAGATTTGGGCGGCCAATGCTTCGACTTGGCGAGACGAAACATTACTATTTACGATAATATCAAGCACCAGCACAGCATTTGCTGCTGCTGTGTATTTCTGACCAATACATGAATGGCACCTGACGAGGATTGCGTGTGACTCGAGGGGCGCAGGAACTGGTGGAGCCCGAGGTGGACGCTGGCACTGGCACTGGCGACAGGGGACCGACAAGGCTGGCTCACCTTGATTCGCCTGTATGTTGCTATCTTGGGAGTCGCATGCGTGCCAATACTGCAAAGTCGCCGGGGTACTCAGCCGCTGCACGACACGCATGTCTTGAATACACTACAGTCAGACTGCCACGCTGTTTCAACACACTGCACTGCACTGCTGCAGCCTGCGTCGCCTTGACGGCTGTGCAGGCACAAGGCAATGACGCGCCACCCGCCACTTCCGTAACCGCGACAACCCTTCCACTTTCGTCATCGCTTGGCCCTACCGCATCCGGCGACCATTCAACGACGAGCATGCGCTGCCTGCCAAACACCATCTCTGCCCTAGCCCTCTGATCAGCCCGCTATCCGGTCATCGGTTCCGCTGCTTGCAACATGGCTGCCTTGCTCCTCGCCATTGACGTCTTGCCTAGCTATGCTACTTTAATTCCACCCATCCAAGCACATCCGTTTCCAGCCCTACACTCCCTCTTCACTATACACCTGCATCACCGCTTTCATCATGGTCGGAGCCACCATTCCCATGCGCGAGGGCGTGGAGCTCGTAGGAGAGCATGGATACCGATACCTACTTGTCAGAGCCCTCGGCCAATCCAACGTGTGGATTGCCGTGGATGCCGCCACCCAGGAGAAGATATTCATCGTCAAACAGCCCAGCGACGATGACGTCGCGTATGGCTGGCCACGCTTCCAGCACGAAATGGTCATGCATGAGCTTCTCAAAGACATCCCCACCATCCGGCAGCAAGTCGACCGCATTCCACCATCCTCGAGAGCCGACCCCCCGCGAATAGTGCTCGAGATCCTGCAGTCGACTCTGTGGGATGCGCGCAGAAAGCGCCAGTTTAGCGATGTGGAAATCAAGGGCATCATGCGCTCGGCTCTTTTGGGCTTGCGGGATGTACACCAGCGAGACTTGGTATACGCAGGTCGGTTGCCAAGACTTGGATAATATTTGCTTTAGCTAACGCCTCTTAGATCTCAAAATGCAAAACATTCTACTGAGTGGATTCGAGGAAGAGCCCAACGCAAAGGCAGTGGTGGGCGACAGTAGAATCACAACCAAGCTGGGAGACTTGGGCATCGTCATGGAACCAGCAAAGGGTCTGGTTCAGCCCATCATATACCGCGCTCCAGAGGTCTATTTCAGAAATGAAATCAGCCCTGCTGCAGACATTTGGTCATGGGGACTCATCTACTGCCAGCTCTTGGAGGCCCAAGCATCCTTCCACAAGTACGGTCTCTATGACGACCTGCTACAAGGCAGTCAGGTACAAAAGGAACGATCAGTCGAGCGAGCCATTGCCCAAGACTTTGGCCTGGGCGCGCTGGATTACTACAACGGATGCCATCTTCCCTACCACGACCGCACACACTACGAAGGACAGCAATGGGACCGACTCATAGAGAAGGGTGTATCAGAGAAGGAAATCCAATTCCTCCGATGGGTCCTGAATCCCGTACCCACCGATCGACCAACTGCACAAGACATTCTCGACGCAGGTTGGTTCACCACAGACACCGACAAGACGGGTCGCATTGCCGAGACTCTCAAGACACGCGTCGAGACTTCTCGCCGCAAAAACCTGCTACGAAAACACAGCGAGCCGCTGCTATCCAAAATACCCATCCACCAACCTGTGCAGAGTACCCAAGCCCCTCGCATGGACGCTCCAACGGCATTTTCGTCATCACACATACCACAAGCGACTCAGCAACCTGTGCCGTTTGAACCCGTCTCCTTTGTGCCTGTCGAATCCACGCAGTATGCCCGGCCTCCAGCCCCGCGATCCAGCACTCACCGACCCGCTGGGGGCACATTTATCAATTATGGATCTTATATGTGATGCATGTTGATGTATTATGATATAATTCTGAAATGAATTATAATGTCGTCTATTTCGGAATCCGGTCCTGAGGCGCTGGGTGTGTATTACTAGAATAAATACAAATGTCGGAATAAAGAAAATTTCCAAGGGCCAATGAATTTATTGTATCGAATGGGAATATTCTAGGCACGATATTCTGCTATGTTGACGCGGTGTTCTTAGACTTGACTTTTTTTCATTTTTCTGTTCGACTTTTGGTTGGTCTGAAATATCTTGTTCATCTATCTATTGAATTTTCATCCAAGTACACAAGTCGTGTCACGCGCGACATATATTTCTTTTTCCATCTTTTCTTCTGCATATCTAGCGTTTGAGATTGTGGAGAACATACTTGCTTGTTTCTAGTGTAATTATGTGGAACTCGAATAGCAAATGCGGGAAATATAAATAATACATGGTGCAATGTATAAACTACGTAATGTGCATGGTATCATTGTCTAACAGGATGCCTTTGATATATTTGTATTTTGTATCTGCATCTTCAATTTGTAGTCTATCTGTGTGAAATATGCCCCTGGCCATACCCATCGTACGTGGTATACGACACTGCACAATGTCTCTGCATTCACACCTCATTTATCGAACGTACATGTCCATTCCATGCGTCTACTTTCTCACCCCGTCTATATCCAGCCACATACAGCATGGAATAAAAGGATAGCTACACAGGACGCTGTACCTGTAACACGACGACGAAGAACACACTTCATCATATTACCGTGAAAAACCCAGTTGAGGCAATAGTGAACATGTCCCATCTCATCCCGTTGCTACATAGCTCTGCCCCTTCTGAAGTATGCGCGTATGCAGTTTCTCAGGTCATGTTAAATGGTGTAGTGTTGGTGCTTACGTATTCGACTAAAGTACACGTCTATCTGGGATATGAACGAGGGAACTGACTAATATTTCAATGGAATGGCTCTCCTTGCAAATCACGGCGTGAATATCTTGCTCTCCCCGTGGAATCTTGCACTGACGCAGGCGTGATTGCTAAAATCTCTCTCAAGTACAGACATTTTGAATAAATCTAGCGTTGAAATATTGTCGACGACGATTCTCCATGTCAATGGGCGTTGTTCTGGTGGAGAATAGCCTGCTGCAAGTTTGAGACTAGGATGGTAATTACCAGCATGGCATTATCGGTGCTGGAAAAATGTAAATGACTTCTATGCATATTTGTGGACTTGGCATCAGTGTCGTTCTATGAGATAGGCGTGGACATGTTATATCCAATGGGATGAGAATAGTAAGTACGTCTAAATGGCCCTTTTTTTTATTTTGTCAAAATACACACTAGAAATCACATTCTAGGCTTATCAAGACACGGGGAAATACCCCAGGTAAGGGTTGATGTCAGGATTAAATGGTCTCTGGCTATTTTCCACTTGGCCAGTGCTGGAGATATTCTTGTGCTTCTTTTCTTGGCAATGCTGATTTATACTTGACTGAATATCCATTCATTGCCCATTCTTACTTGCAGTCTTGGACGCATCGCAGACTCTTGAGTCTTACAGAATAATATAATCTAGTACCGCTGTGATGTTGAGATTCACTACAAGCCCAAGACACGCTCAAGTATCATAGTGATTCGCCGTGCTGCTTCCTGGCGCTGATGCGACAGTCTCCTTACTAGGAAATGATTGATGACATCAAGTCAAGCTGCTGACGGCCATCACTCTCCGTAAACATTCGTTGTGTATATTACTGCTTACGTATTGTGTCCAAGGTGCAGGGTATATCGCTGTCGTATATTATACACTCTATTGGGTTGTCAAGGCCGCTGCGTCGGCACGTCAAGATTGTCGATCAAACAAATAAAACAAGTGATAATATATCGTTCGGTACATTTCTCAAACCACTCATGTATCCAAAGTCGAGGCGGAAAATATCAATCTAAGAAAACATCCCGAGGCTCGTAGTAATAGCGATACTACTCAAACGACACATGGATCGGGCTACATGATTTTCTCACCATGTCATTTCTACAGCGGTGCAAGGCATGTCGACATCAACTCCGTCTGGAATATATCATGTATCATGTGTGGTTGATGCACAATGTCCGTCCGTATCCCGACACTGCAAAACGCAGGGAAAGAAATTCGCCCCCCCCC